ATAATAACAACAAAGATGAGGACAATAGTCTGGGTCAAAATAATATAAATAATGATAATTCCTCATCCCCAAAATTCAGACAAATATAAACTTCGTAAAAATATCACCGTTTTGCTTATTTATTTAAAATTGCCCGGTTCAGACTCGTTCATCGTCTTTTGAAAAAGAGTAAAGTTTTATCCATTGTTTCCTGTTTAGGATTCGATTTCTGGTTCCTTCACCTAAATCTTCTCATTTTCTTTCACTTCCAGTCACCCCTTGCGTCTTAGTGGCTTTATCACTTTGGTTGGGGTGAAATGTATAAAACATATTCGCAAAATCTTATTAGTTTTTTTTTATACACACCATGGTCTTATAACTATATTTTAAAATTAATGGAAAATCATCATTAATATATTTTTAACCGTATTTACTTGTGTGTGTATATGTATGTGCGTGCACTTTCACCTTTGTTAGCTAAATAGAAAAGTATATTTCAGCTAATGAAAAAAAAAAAAAAATGAATATGATTTTTTGATCTTGAATGAAAAAAAATAATTCTGAATATTTTTGTTAAAAAATACAGGGTTCGGCAGAAATCCCCCCCAACATAATGGTAAGAAATTAATTGATGAAGACAACGTTGATATTAATGTGTTACAATTATGTGGGAGGTATTTGTTGCACCCTGTATAAAAGCGAATATTTCGTTATTCTTGATTAAGCAGAGCGGCTTATTCCAGTTTTTTTTTTTTTTTTTTGTTTTTTTTTTTTTTAATAATTTATTGAAAACTTTTACCGTCGTAAACGATGGCCACACCCACTAAATCATTTTAAAGCGAGGAGAGGATTAAGATCAGTTTGGAATTAAATTACACTTACAGTGACTTAACTTTACTCACTCGATTACCACCAGAATAAATGTCTGACTAATAAACTAATATCGACTAATTGGACCCAACTTATGAAAAAAAAAAATAATAATTGAACTTATAATTATTTATTTAAATTGAAGCCGATGGCTAAATCAAACTAAATTCACCAATCGATCTTGTACCAGACTAAACAAAGCCAAGTAAAATATCAGAATGTGCTTTAACTGTATGACTCGGTAATTAATCATCTATATAAATAAATGCGAATGTCAGTGTGTCAGTGTGTCACTTTTTTTTTTTCAACTTCTAAAGGCTGTAGCACAACGTATCATACCATTTTGGAATCAGGCCGACACCGTGAGCAAAATAAAAACATTCTGCAATCCTGAAATTTTGGATTCCCAAGTTTTCATTACTGCAATTATTTTCCGCGATTTTTTGCCACGAATTTTTTTGTACGATAACAATTTTTATAATTTGATAATAAATTTGGAAATTGTGGAATCTAACGAAAGTCACCCATGAAATAAAAATAATTGTTTGTACGGAAAATAAGGACCTATGTACACATCAAATTGTCTTTTTAAATTAAGTGGCGACAGAAAAATTATCGTTGAACTTTTAAAAGGTAAACTGAAATATTAATGTAAAATACTTAAATGCAGCGATCAATTTTGAGTTCTTCTGTAGTTTATCTATCGCGTCTACTGCTCACTACCGATTGTGATGAATGTCCAATCAAGAGCTCTCGGCAGAAGCAAGCTTAAATGCCGCCCGATGTGGCGAGTTTTGAGCTTGTTATTAAATAAATTAAAAAAAACAAACAAACGAAACATGCTAGCCATAAAATAAACAAAAAAATAAACAGCTAAAACAAAAAATAAACAAACACCAAACGAATAAAAGAAACAGACGACAAACAAACAAAAGCACGTCCATCATTTAAAACAAACGAAATTACTTACAGAATTTATATTCGGATTGTCTCTTTTTACATTTAGTGTATGAATTGTATATGCAATTGTAACAATATTTTTTGTTTTTAATTCTGCCAGGAATAATTTGAAAATAAAAAGAATCACAAATTAAATTCCAAGTAACCTTACACTGACAAAATTAAAAAGACTGCAATCATTCTTTAAAGTGTATTACTAATTTTTTCCACCTCTAATTGTTCTATCTATCTATCTATCTATCTATCTATCTATCTATCTATCTATCTATCGCAATTTCTTCATATCTCTCAGTTTTATTTAAATCTACATCTCTCAGATTCTCCCATTCATCTATATCTATCTATCTATCTATCTATCTATCTATCTATCTATCTATCTATCTATCTATCTATTTCAGACTTTCTTTTTTTCTATCTACCGTATATATTCGCGTATCATGCGACCTTTGAAGACCTAATTTTGAAACTAATTTGACTCCAGTAAATGGATATATAGTTTGGTCAACATTGTAGCCCAGTGCCAGCAGTACACACGCTAATTTTAAATCTCGTGTAAGATGCGACCACCTTAAAATTAGCTTAAAAATTATATATTTATTTGAGTCTGATTATCTGAGTCTGTTTATCTATCTATCTATCTATCTATCTATCTATCTATCTATCTATCTATTTCGCTCTCCTTCTCTCTCTCTCTCTCTATATATATATATATATATGTGTGTGTGTGTGTGTGTGTGTGTGTATAATGACAAACATTGATCTAAATTTTGTGTTAAAATTTCCATCTAACTACTTGTCTCTCTCCCTTTTTCTATATATATGCATATATATGCATATATATCTATGTATATATTAAGAAATGGACAAAGTCCGACAATTTATTCATTAAAGACATTTTTATGTTTAACGTTCTTTTTTTTATGGATACAAGTATTTTAAATGTTTGTTTAATAAACAGTATTAAATAACATTTACCGGTCTGAATGTCCGAGAAATTTTCATAGAAAATATTCGTCCATTGACAGGATTCGAACCTGCATCCTATACGGTACCGTCATTTACGCTGACGTGCCTTACCGATCGGCCACAAAGTTTATAAGCAGTAAATTCGACCTTGCCTACCGAACGCTCCTTTGTGGTTGATCGGTAAGGCACGTCAGCGTAAATGACGGTACCGTATAGGATGCAGGTTCGAATCCTGTCAATGGACGAATATTTTCTATGAAAATTTCTCGGACATTCAGGCCGGTAATGTTATTTAATACTGTTTATTATAAACAGAGAATTTACTTAAATACTTGTATCTATAAAAAAAAAAAAAGAACGTTAAACATAAAAATGTCTTTAATAAATATCTATGTATATATATGCATCTCTCACTCTTTCTGTCTGTCTGCCTCTCTCTCTCTCTCTCTCTACATATATATATATATATATATAAATAAATATATATATATATATATAAAGAGAGAGACAGAGAAAGATAGTTATAGATAGTGTGGACATGAGAATTAATGTTGCATGGTAACAGTAAGTTTCATGTCTCAAACGATCTTCAAACCACTGTCTGCATTTACAAACACTGTCTTCGATACTGAACACTATTCCTCCATAAATATAGCAAATTTAAAACAATAATATATATATATATATATATATATATATATATATATATATATATATATATATATATATATCGCAATTACATGAGTGTCTGTTCTTTCTGCCAATTATTCACATGTCACCCAGTACTGTTTGTCGCCTGTTAATTAGAGAGAAGACTAACGCCATCTGCACTGATTGTCCAACAGATGAATGAAAAACATGTCCAGTGTGGCTCAACGATTATACGATCATCAATATATATATATGTTGTTTTGTCTTCATTGGTTATGTAAACGTCACGTGTCTATCTTATGACGTTAGTATCTGTGTTTGATCATTCTAATGATAAGTATTTCAGTGTATATTTAAAACATGTTTATTAGTATAATTAGTAATGTATGAAGGGTGTTTTTTTAAGACCAATCAAAGTAAAAAATCAGTATTATTGGGAAAAAAATTATGGATTTCTCTATTGGATCATGTTATTTACATCATGGCAATTACGTGTGAACAATAATATCGCTTAAATGTCCGCCAAATGAAAAAATAAAATATCATTAGACACGTAAACTTAATTCACATTAAAGTCAGTTCATGTTATTGGAACACACTTATATATATATATATATATATATATATATATATATATATATATATATATATATATATATATAATATTTGGTAAAAAGATACATATAGTTATATATATATATATATATATATATATATATATATATATAAATTTATATATAAAATATATATCAATTATATATATATATATATATATATATATATATATATATATATATAAAATTATTTGTTAAAATATAAAAAAAAATTTTTCAATGTTTCAGATATTTTCGTGGTTTCCTTTATATTATTTAAATATAATTTGTCCATTATATGATTACTTCTGGCTTTCATAAGCCATTAAAAAAGAAGGTTTTGTGTGTGTGGTGTGTCAATTTCGTCGTTTTAAAAACATCGTGTTTTCGTGTGTCATGTCGGTGTTTTAAAATGTCGCGACTTCACGTGAAAGATCGTGTTGTCGCATTATTATTATTATTATTATTATATATATATATATATATATATATATATATATTATCACTGTAAACGTAATTTTAGGGGATAGTCATATTTGAGTAGATGCCCAGTTTACTTATTAAACGGTATATTTATTTATTTACGTTTACCAGCGTGAAAAGTCGAGAAATGTTATTTAACAAAAATATGCGATCTCCTTTAATAAACCTTCCCGAATATTCAAGCCGGTAGACGTAAATAAATAAATATACTATTTAATAAATAAACGGAGCGTTTACTCAAATCCCAGTATCCACTAAAAATAACATTTCAAGTGATAAAATATGTCAGATTAATAAATTAAAAATCCATTACTTTATATATATATCTATATCTATCTATCTATCTATCTATATATATATATATATATATATATATATATATATATATATATACATAAATATATATCGTCTGCCAAAATAGGCTATTCCTCATATGAGGTAATTTTGGATTTTATTGCTTATTAATTTGCTCTGTAATAATAAATATATTGAGCGCTTTTTGTAGATCAGTTTAAATATTTTATATTATTAGGATCCGCTTGGATTATATACCAACGGATTTCTTAACTTTACTATATATATATATATATATATATATATATATATATATATATATATATATATATATATTTAAAGTAATAAAATAAGGATCAATATTATTTAAGAATACATGTTTGAGAGAATTATTTAAATTATATGACCTGTAACGGTCAAGGACCTTAATACAACAAAACATCGACCTTCTCTCAAAGAAAGACAGATCAAAACATCGAAGGATCAGATCAAATATCTCCAAATGCAAAATATATATATATATATATATATATATATATATATTCAATACTTATTGATATTAACTCTGAGGTTCGTAATTTTTCACTCATCATTCTTCAGGACTTTCGATAAAACTGATTGTATTGATTATTATTTTATAAACTCTTATTTATATAATCAATATAATTATTCCTATCGTAAGTTCTGACTAGTGAGGATTAAAAAATTAAGAAACTCAAAGTTGACTCCCGATAAGTACGGAACTATATTATTTCTGATTCAAAAATGATTGCTCTCGACAACTATCGTTCACTTTACGTATATCAATAGCTAGCATTATTAATTTATCATACATACATACATAAATAATATATATATATATATATATATATATATATATATATATATATATATATTGAAGTTATGACTTTTTGTAACCCTATGTTTCCTGTGTTATAAATCGATGAACTTTTGTTCAAAAGTAAGGAAAAGGTATTAATTTGTTTTAGTTCTTATAATGGATCACTCCTAAACCGAAAATTCGATTTTTGCTTTATACGCAATAAGGGTAAAAAATAAAAATATTTCTGAAGGTTCATTTTTCAATATGCTAATCATGTAAATGGATAAAACTTATGTATTTTTTAAACACATTTAACATTTTATAGCTGCAGCATAATGTACAAACTTACAAATAAACAAAAATTGTAAACTTGGAAAAGCTTTATTTTTCAATTTGCTAATTAGATAGTTACAGTTTATATTGCCGAACATAGAAACTTACAAGAAAAAACGAGTTTTAGAAGGCTCCATAAAGTTCTGCAAGGCTACAGGAAGTTCTAGAAGGTTCCAGAAAGTCATAGTACTAATATACTTAAGTATGATTTTAGAAATTTTTTGTTGGGGGTAATTTTTTTCCAAATAAACTCAAGCTTTTCTTCATTATTGCTGAATAAATGTTCATAGAATTATGTTACAGGAAATCAATTATTTTACAAATAATCATAACCCTGGTCTGTATATATATATATATATATATATATATATATATATATATATATAATATACAAGGGTTATGATATATATATAATGCCTTTCACAATAGTGTCTAGCTGCTTCAGAGCTCGTCAGTGCGACTAGACACCCGAATGCCTCAAGCCACAATTGAAACACAACAAATTTGGTGAGAGTCAAAGTTTCTACCACTGAGATACGTTCATTCGACAGAATGAGCTAGTTAAATCTAGCGTATTGTTTTTACGAATGTAAACAAATATCAGTCAGCCATAGGGCTCGATTCATTTTACTCAAGAGCTTTGCATTAGCGCAGGTGGCTGTTGTTTATAAAATTAGCTTGTCATTCAACAGTGCTCAACTGAAATATATTTTCAAGTACTAAATTATATATATATATATATATATATATATATATATATATATATATATATATTAATCAGTTGATTTAAAGGTAGCTTTTTTTTCGTTTTACAAGTAAAATTATTTAAAAAATAGGTTGAAAAACAATCCTATCATTTTTCGTTTGGGATCAAATTGTAAAGAAAATTATTTTGTTTTTTATTAAAAATTTCAAATTTAATTTCAACCTAACATCTATGGAAGAAACAAGAAAAATGCTAGACGTTCTCATTTCTACGGCGGTAAGCCTAGGGGACATTTTTCACCCTAATACTGGATGCGACAGAAATACCTCCCAGAAATACCTCTCACATAACGGTAAAACAGTAAGAGGTATTTCCGAGAGGTGTATGTGAGAGGTATTTATGGGAGGTATATGTGGGAGGTATTTAAAGGAGGTATATGTAGGGGGTATTTCAGGGAGGTATATGTGGGTAGTATTTCCAGGAAGTATTTCCGACGCGCACCATGTACAATGCCTATTTTCCAGGCGCAATGCGATAATATTAGTAGAACACTCAGCGAGAACTGAACTGATTACACCAGCGGGTCGCCCGTTCGCTAACTCTTGCTCTACAGCAGGAATCTATATCATTTTAATAATTATTCGTTCAAAGTCAATCAGGTAAATAAATTTATATGTTCATTCTTGTACGATCACCGAAGTTAAGCAACGTCGAATCTGGTCAGTAACTAGGTAGGTGACCGCTTGGGAATACTAGGTGCACTAAGCTTGGATGTACGTGTGGGTGTAATGGATAGTTGCTTGGAATTGTTATTATGTTTTTATTGTTATTATGTTATTATGTTACTTATAGAATTGTTAATCATAGTCGGAAAACCGAATTCCAATTTCCATTGGGTTTGTTATATTCGCTTATACGTAAATACATTTGGGGAAAGTATGAATACACCTCTTCTCCCCTCAGCTATAGGTTAATTAGGATGACTTCTGTCACTAAAGCCATTATTATCCCCCCACCTAAAAAATTTTACAATCTAAAATTATTTTCTGGCTTTAAATAACATGTATAAGGTTGATAAGCCGTAGAAAATAAATGTATCAATCAATGATTCCTGTTTTTAAGATCTTAAAGTAAATTTTTCGTTTTTTTTTTTTTTTGCTAATGTTTACTAAATAAAAGGCCCAAGAGCCACTCAAGTTAGAAGGTTACTGTGTGGATCTATATTAGTGTAGGAAAAGAACACGCATTAGGAGTATAGAGCTGAAGCAGACGTTAGAAGGAACCGGAAACCCAATCCTAAACAGGGTTAAACAAGTGATAAACCTCTCCACCTGTTCAAAAGAGCGAGGAGGAGTGTGAACCTGACGATAGGCGAACCTATCTTAATTTTTTTTATTTCTTATTTATATATTGAACGATTGTATCTCTCAGAGCAGCTTGGAATAGTTAAGGAATACGAATCGAATGGGCATCGTGCATTAAAAGAATATTTATTAGTGAATTGTTATTCAATGTGTACGCGTTTTTTTTCCGACGGCTTTTATAAGAGTTTATTATCGCTACTTGGCTGAGTCCATTTGCATCCACAGGGAAACAAAAACAAAACAGCACAAAGTAAAACAAAACAAAATTGACCAGCAAGAAATTAATACATGTATATGTCTATTTGTCAGGGTCTTAGAGAAGGGAAGAGGGTGTGTGTATATTTTGCTATCGTGTTATCCAATGTACGCGCCTGTGAACATGCGTGTGTGTGTGTGCGTGCGTGCTAGGGATAGTATCAATTGTGACTGGTGTTAATTCTATGAAGGCACATCTAAAATAGCTACTAATTATAAAAATACTCCAACCTTAATTACTCAGCAGTTAGAATGGTGCCGGGGGCGGGTGGGAGTGGAAGAGGTTCTTAATTATTGTCAGTCACAACCCCAAACCTGCCACTGCCAACAGCTTTAGAGTTTGGATTTAGTTTTTATAGTCGGCATCCATAACAAAATTCTTTATTGTTTTCCCTTTTTTTAGTTCCTCTTTGTTCGTTTATTGTTTTTTTTTTTCTTTCTTTCGTTCGTTTATTTCTTCACGTTCTTTCTTTAGTTCATATTTTTTTCATTTAGTCTTTCTGCTCTTTTTTTCAACTCGTCATTATAATCCATTTCTTTCTTTCTTTCTTTCTTTCTTTCTTTCTTTCTTTCTTTCTTTCTTTCTTTCTTTCTTTCTTTCTTTCTTTCGCTGCTCGCTCGTTCGTTCGTTCGTTCATTTATTCCAGATTTTTCTTCACATCATTTTTTCTTTTATTCTTACTGCCTTTTCCTTTCTTTCTTTCTTTCTTTCTTTCTTATTGCCTTTTTTCTTTCTTAAGTTTGTTTATTTCCTTTTATTTATTTCCGTTCTTTTTTCTTTCCCATTTACAATCTGTTTCATTCATTCATTCATTCATTCATTCATTCATTCATTCTTTCTTTCTTTCTTTAGTTTGTTTTAACTTCATTTCTTTTTTCCATTCTCCTTTCTTTCGTCTATACAATCTTTTTCATTTATTCATTCATTCTTTTCTTTTTAGTTTTTCGTTCGTTTCTCCTTTTCCTTTCTTTCTTTCATTTCTACCTTATTTTCTTTTTTAATTCCTCTTACATAATAAACTTTTATTACATCGTCGTTTAGCTTATGTTAATTGTCTGTTAATTATTTCTGTTGTTGTTAGTTTTACATGGCTGAATGTTGTGAACATTCAATATAAGTTTTTGCTTTGTTTGTTGATGTCCGTTTGGGAAGCAGAAATTTCATCCTATCTTCGGCCGGCTGATTATATTCCCAATTCCCAATTCCGACAATTAACTTTACCGTTTTAGTTGCTGCCACTTATTAAAAATTTACAGCCGTAAAGTGGACGTTTGCCTTTTTTCAAACCTTTTACTACTTCACAACACAGATTCTTTGGAGGAAAAAATATTACAGCTCTTAAGACACATGCCTGTCGTAGAGCCTTGTTTAGTAAGCCAGTATCTCTTATTTGCTGGGGGAACAAGTTCGATTATTAAGGGGTACCGCAATAATACAGACATGTGTCAGATTAAGCTAAGCTTATATTATTTACAGTCGGTCTAAATGTCTTTGTCTTTGTTGTCATTTAACACACTGTTTCGGCTGTTATGGCATCGGACCTTCTTACGCTCTCTGTCACTCAGGGTAACATTCAGAGAATTTCGAACTGAACGGGGATAGATTGATTTTGTTCCGCTGTGTATGTTTAGTGAATTTCCAGGTTGACCATCACCGAGTAACAATTATTACATTTGAGTTTCAAACAAGCGAGCAGGGACGATTATTTATTTCTTTTTTTGAGAAAATTACACGTACGGACGTTCTAAATGAAAACTTTTCATTACTGAAAATTATAAAGAAATTATAGGAAAAGGTCTATTCACCTGTTTTATTCCAAGAATCTATCAAGGAATCACAGATATACACCCAGATCTCCGGCCACACGGTGATAGCTACAGGTTGTGTAACAGATCAATAATGCGTACAATTAGATCTTCATTGAATGCCTCAATAGAATTAATATCTGGACGTTTTCAAAACACACATAGAGACACACACACACAGACACACACAGACACACACACACACATATATATATGTATGTGTGTGTGTGTGTGTGTGTGTGTGTGTGTGTGTGTATGTATGTATGTATGGGTGCGTGTTTTTAAAAAGTCCAGATATTAATTTTAAGAATTTTAACACACACACACACACACACATATACATATATATATATTGTTTAAACGTTATTTTTTTAAGGATATTTGTTTTAGATGTATAAAAATACACTTTAATGAATAAAATACAGAGTTTCAACTCGAAAACAAATATCCTTAAAAAATAACGTTTAAACAATATATATGTGTGTGTGTGTGTGTGTGTGTGTGTGTGTGTATGTGTGTGTATGTGTGTGTGTGTGTAAAAAAGACTCTGGACCAAGCAGTGGTTTTGTTACAACAGGAAGCAGGTTCGATCCATGTCGAGAAGCGTTTTGTTTATTTAGATTTCTCGCATGCGCAGGCCGATAGATGTAATATTGTTTCGTAAATAAGAATGAGGCGCCTATTTCAAATATTAAGTTTCCACTATAATAACGTATAAAAAAGTATATATATATATATATATATATATATATATATATATATATATATATATATATATATAATTATAATATATCAACATATAGTGCTAGTGTTAATAAAACAGTGGTCGATGTAACAACAGGGCGGTGAAGGATTATATCTATCTATCTATCTGTCAATCTCTCTCTCTCTCTCTCTCTCTCTCTCTCTATATATATATATATATATATATATATATATATATATATATATATATATATATATATATATAAAATATATATATACAAAATATATATATAAAATATATAATATATATAAAATATATATAATTATATATTATATAATATATATATATATATATATATATATATATATATATATATATATATATATATATATATATATATATATTACTGTTGAGTGTAAATGTTATTTTCAGTGTATACACATATTCGAGTCTCCACAAAAAACATTACAATAACAATAAAGGTTTACAATAACAATAATAGTAATAATAATATATATATATATATATATATATATATATACCAACAGGTCCTTATTCCAACCATACATTTTATTAAATTTTCAGGGCATCCCCACTCAGTTTAGATTGTGAACATTCTGAAACAAAGAGTCATTACCTAAAATTATAAACAAATTCCTCCAACCCTTTTATGTTAATGGAGTTCGATCCTCGTCGTCTGCTGCGTCATACAAAACTTATCTATCGTCATCATCATCATCATCATCATCATCATCATCGTCATCATCACACATATACACGAAAGCGCCACACGCTCCGACACCTACTTGTGAACAGGCTCACGCTTGAATATATGTATAATGTGTAAATTAGTTGGGGCAGATGGGAAGAAGAGTCAATGTTTTTATGAGCGAAAACAATTCATTAAGGACACGTGAAGATGAACAAGAGACGATGATTCACCGAATGCGATTGTGTACTTTGTGAATTTTCCGTTTCACATTTGAATGGCGTTCTAATCATGAGATGATTTTGAATAACACAAAAGCCACGATTTCGAAACGAATTCAGAATCGTAATCACATTCGGAATCAAACATTAATACAACATAATTATATACTTTTAAAAAGACATTTAAATTGATGTCAGAAGCTGTCGCGGCAAAGGACTTCCGACACCATGCTACTTTCTTGAATCTATTTTTACAGTCAAATGATAGATGTTTCTGTTTACACCTATTAAAAAAATTAAACTAATTATCAAATTTTACGTATATTTAAGAGTGGATTTTCATCTTGAAATTTAAAAATTATTCGAAATATTCATCTCAAAATCAGAAAAATCCTCCAAATATTTAATATCATAATATCCAAATATCGTAATATTAATATCATAATATCTAAATATTTCCCTACGTAATATTAATATCATAATATCTAAATAATTTCCTACGTAATATTAATATCATAATATCTAAATAATTTCCTACGTAATATTAATATCATAATATCTAAATAATTTCCCACGTACTATTAATATCATAATATCTAAATAATTTTCTACGTAATAATATCATAATAATTTCCTACGTAATGTATGCATACGCACCCCAAAAGTCAAAATAAATCAAAAAACGTTACCCACTTTCAAGGTTCAAAGGGGTAAAGGAGTAATAGTCTTTCTTTCTTTCATCTTCATCACTTCTACAAATTCATCTTCTTTTCTTTTCGTTTTTCTTTAGCGTTATTGGCTTATGGCCATATCACATTAAAACATCGGTTCTCGTACGATCATCGAAGTTAGGCAACGTCAAGCCTGGTCAGTAACTAGATGGGTGACCGCTTGAGAATACATGTCGTAAGCTTGGATGTGCGGGTGGTGTAATGGACAACGACTCAGAATTGGAAAACGGAGAGCTGAGTTCCAATTCTTATTGGGTTTGTTATATTCCCTTACGCACAAACAGTCTTGGAAAAGGCGTGAATTTATTTTTTTCCTCTAACCAAGCTATGGGTAAATTAGTACATATCTGTAAATCATTATTAACTCCTAAAATTTATTGCAATCTAAAAGTCTTTTCTGGCTCTAAATAACCTGCAAAATGTTGATAAGCCATAAAAAACAAAACAATGTAGCTAGCTTTATTACTTACCCTCTTCTTTTCCCCCTTTACGCCATTCTCTCTTTCTTTTTCTTCTTTCAATTGTGTCATCGTATGAAAATGAAAAAGAAGCAGTTGATGGCTATATTCTATGTGTGTGCGTGCATGCGTATGTGTGTGTAATATTTTTTACACAACGCACAGACATTACACTGATTTTAAACAGAAGCGCGGGGGAACGACATTTGGATCCATATATCTTACATATTTATAAGTCTACCATTCGAACGTGCGTTCAGTGTTGCTGTCACGCCTGGTCTGGCGCTATGTATTTAAAGATTCTTGATAAAATAATCTGCAATGCTATTGGTCCTGACTTGACATCTCGGTTTCAGTCCCATTCCCACCATTATAATTTATCTTCCTTGAGCATTTTCATGGCAACTGTTCTGATGAGCTTTCCTCTTTGGTACCTTGACTTTTTGAATTTAAGCGTACGATTGGCAGTAATTACAGGTGAAATTTCAGTTGGCTCGCGTTATATCCACTTACGCGCAAATACACATCTTCTCCCCACCTATGGGTTAATTAGTAAGACTCGTATCACTAAATCATTATTATTCCCGCCAAAAAGAAAAAAAACAATTCTTACAATCTAAAGCTATTTTACGGATTTAAATAACCTGCTAAGGGTTGATAACCCGTAGAAAATAAATCAATCAATCAATAAAAAAACATGTTCAACTACCAACAAAGTTTGGAAGATCTTTTTTACTACAAGTGTCACAGATACATCGTTCGCCAGGGTCAGATAAATAAATACATTTATCTGACTCTGATAAGCAGTGCATTTAGGAAAGTTGAAATCGAAAAGATAAATCTTTTGAACTTTTCTTTATCTATTAACTACTGTCACTCTCTTTTTATATATGTATATATGCAACACGTTGTATACAAAATCTGAGCATCTTTAAATGAGTTAAACTCCAGTCATTTATGAACCTACATATTTTGTTAGGCGTCAACAATCCGTGCTTATATATAAATGGAAATGGATTAAATCCGACATATTGTCATTTTAAATTTATTTTGTTTCAACGTTATTTTTATGGATGCTCATATTCGAGTAGAAGCTGTTTTTAGATTAAACAGTATTTTTTAATTAAACAGTATTTTTTAATTAAACAGTATTTTTTAATTAAACAGTATTTTTTATTCAACTACATCTACCGGCCTGAATATTCGAGAAATCTTGTCAGAAAAATATACGTCTTCTGGCAGGATGCAAACCTGCATCTCTTATGGGGAACCGTAATTGGATCTGACGTGCCTGACCGCCCGGCCACGTAGGACAAACGGTCAAGCAAAGCCTGAACAGCGCCTTTTGAACACACACTTCTCAGCCGATTCTCGAAGCATCCATATGTGCTCTGTATCGTATCCTAACGTAAACAATTTATTTTTAGGAAATGGATTATATCCGACATGTTGTTATTTTTAATTAATTTTCTTTAAACGTTATTAGAATTAACTAATAATAATTGATTAAAATTTATTAAAATTTATTATTAGTTAATTCTAATATTTTAAGCAGCAATAATTAAATAAATAAGTTTTAACAGAAAAGTTTGAATCATCACTACAAGAACGCGAATTAACAATCAGATCATATTTGCCCCTGAAGATTGCAGAAACTGCATGAAACTCCGGGTCGTGCTATCGACGTTGGATATATATATATATATATATATATATATATATATATATATATAGATAGATAGATAGATAGATAGATAGATAGATAATATTAGTGGTAAATATACACATACATATGGAATCATATATCTAAAAATATATAAATACATATACATACATACATACATATACATATATATTTGTATAAAAAATAAATCCAAGAGGAGAGAATTCAGGTAGAATTCAATGTCCAGGACAGAGTAAGGATATAATAAAAAGGCTTAAACACTAATATTCCTAATATTAGAAATTTTCACTGTATTATTTTTGGTTATATAAAATTTGTTAATTTTATAGTATGTCAACCGTTACTGCGTTATTTATTGGTAACTGTTTATGGTGTACCAAGATCGAACTGACTTGTAACCACATTACGAAGAGCTTTCTCTATGTAAAATGCGTGATCTTAGGTTGTCTTCTTGTTTTTACAAAAATGATCGGTGGAAAATGTCACGATGTCATTTCTGACCTTAGCTCTCGGGTTGGGACCCGGAAGGAAATGTAAATACAACAGAAATCAAAGGAAATAATAATAATAATAATAATAATAATAATGCATTTAATACTGATAAACAGAGTCATTCAAATAACAGTTACAGAATAACTGAATTGTAGCCCTCGTATGATTAACACTCAAGACTTAGCTACATATTTAGTGCCCATTGAAGCAGTACTTATCCTGATTTATTGATTTGTTTTTTACGGCTTATCAACACTTTGCAGGTTATTTTAAAGCCAGAAAATATTTTTTAGATTGTAAGATTTGGGAGCGGAGTTAATAATGGTTTAGTGATACGAATCTTACTAATTAACCCACAGCAGGGGAAGAAGCGGTGGCTTGCTACCTTTCCCAAGGGTGTTTACGTATAGATGAATATAACGAAGCCAAGGGGAATTGGAACTCGGCTCGCCGTTGAACAATTCTAAGCTGTTGTCCATGACATCACCTGCACGTCCAAGCTTACATCACCTGGTATTCCCAGACGGTCACACATTTGGTACTGACCAGGCTCAAAATCGCTTAACTTCGGTAATCTTACGAGACACATGAATCCATTTATATATATATATATATATATATATATATATATATATATATATATATATATATATATATATATAGTCTTAAGATGTGCTATATTTATGGGATAAAGTGCTCAATATCAGAGATAGAGCGTGTGTAAATATAAAAGTGAACATAGAACTCAACACTTAGGAGGCGACAGTGTTTCATGCTAGATGCAATCGTCAGGCCATATATATATATATATATATATATATATATATATATATATATATATTTTATAATTGAAATTTGCTCTGTTTAACGAAAATAAACATTGAGCGCTCTTTTGTGAGTCAGTTTTAACATATTTCAAATTCTATGTTGTGTTAATAGGACTCGCCTATACCAACGGATTACCACCTACCTACCTATATATATATATATATATATATATATATATATATATATATATATATATGTGTGTGTGTGTGTGTGTGTGTGTGTGTGTGTTTAATAAGTTGTTACATACGGACAAACAAGTACTAACGACAAAGATGCATATTTGTTTCGATGCGTAAGCATCCCATCACATGAGGAACAAAAGATCAAATATGCATGTTTGTCGTGATTACTTGTTTGTTCGTATGTAACAACTTATAATAAATAACTATTGCACATTGTGGCCGTGTTCGTAGTCAATATTATTAAGTACTGGCTTTTTCTTTTTTATTGTTAAGGGTTCCGTTATTTTTAGGCTTTTTTAACATGTGGAACACGGCCACAATGTGCTACCTGTGTTCGGAAAATAAAACATCTCTATAACATTAAAAACATGCACACAATGCACATACACAATTATATTGAGAAAAAAAAAACAAAGTACAGCCGAAAGCGCTCGAAATTACTGAACATTTGAACAGTTTCTACACACTCTCTGTCCCCAAAAGAAAACACTTGTTCGAACGCAAGAAAAATTACATAAAAAGCTTAATCGTAGTACCTTGTTTGTCGTTTTTAATGAAACATGCATATATATATATATATATATATATATATATTATAATTATAATTTAGGCTCTATTTATGTATTGAGCACTGTTTTTTTAAAAATGAAAACAAAAATAATAAAGAACTTCGGATTATTAACCTAACGTGTTCTTTCCTATTTTTCTATATATTCACACACACACACACACACACACACACACATATATATATATATATATATATAAAGATTTGTATCCACAGAAGAAGAAAATAGGTTTAAATAGAATGGACGTCATTATTTTACCTTGAGGGGACCCTTTCGGTCAACATTTTCTCAAAAGGTGATACGTTGGCGAGAAGCAGGAAACACTCAAAGACACATTAATAAATAACGAATGAGGAGGGAAAATTGGAACATGATTAAAATAGAATGGTCCCCTCAAGGTAAAATAATGACGTCCATTATATATATATAATTATATGTGTGTGTGTGTGTGTGTGTATTAGTAATATTTTTATCAGGTGATTTTAGGTAACTTTTGATGAAAATATTTTGCTCTTCGTTGTATTGAACCATTTTTTAAAAAGTAAATGCTAAAGAACTGTTGGTTCTTATGCTGTCTGATTTCTCTCTTTATTTGTATATATATATATATATATATATATATATATATATATATATATATATATATATATATGTGTGTGTGTGTGTGTGTGTGTGTGTGGGTGTGTGTGTGAGTGCGCCTGTGTGTTATTTTTTGAGAATTTGAGATGAGTTATGTTTTGAGTATCTTAATCATTGTTTTTGTTTTTCATCTAAGACTTTGAGAAGATTTGTTAATATTCAATGAATATCTTGGAAATTCTTTACATTCTTCCATATTTACTTCCATAATCTTGTTCGGGTGGCACCATTTTTACTATGTCTACCCTGTTGACATAAAATACATGCAACTGACGGCCATGCTCTTTTAGAAAAATCAGTTTGCGCAATAAACGATTTGCTTATAAAAAAAAAAAAGAAAAGCAAAAAAGATAACAGTCGATAAATAACGAAATATTTTAAAATCATCGCACGAAAATCATTTATTTGTTTGCAACTGCACTGGCCGTAATTCGCTATGATGTTCTAGTAAATATTTTCATGCAGACATTGTTATGTTTGCTGGTTAAATTAGTTGTCTATGTCTAGTGGTTGGTGTCCGGTGTTGGGTAAAAACAATGCTGGCTTTTTTTAGCGAAGTCTTTTCTGCGTGAAAATTTAGCGCCACAGAATTATCCTACATTAAATTTATGCGTATATCCAAATGCTAAGTAAATAACACTTTTGTGTAGACATATCGTATTAACTAATTTCCTATCAGCTTTCAAATTCGGAGAAGAAATAATATAAGAAAAAAAAATATTTCGTTTGCAATTATATGAATAAAAAAAATGCATTTAAATGTCGATTTAATTTGATTGTTCGTTTAAAAATATTTAAACTGGAAATCCCAGAAATCAATATAAATCGATGAGCTAATATCTATTTATCGACCAGTCAGTCGATTAATCGATCAGTCGATAAGCAAATCAGTCAATCACTCTAGCTAGATGCCCTGTTGGTTTGTTCAGTATGAATCCTTTTTTCTTCATTTTTTTTTGTTTTACATTCATGATTAATTATTTAACGGTTAACGTGTTTGGAAGGAAGCCGTCTCTTAAAATTGTTTTAATGTTGAAGCATTTTAACAATTGTAAATATTCTAATGATTTTTTTGTATATTGTTTTGTTATAAAAAAGCAACAAACATCAATGAAGGAAAACTATTGTGAGTTTTCGTATACGCTTTATTTTCTTTTACTTAAAATTTAGGAAAATATGTGAACAGCTTTTATATTTTTATATTATAGACTAGTAAATAGATAAATTACCAGATTCGGCTACTTTACAAAGACCAACGCTATTAAATATTTGAATTTAATTAAATTCAAAATTTAGTAGCTTGGTCTTTCAAATATTGAACAATACACAATAGCCTAACCAGGCAAAACTCATAGATACATACATACATATATACATACATACATACACGAACATTAAATATGCCTCTGCCGCCGATGTTCGTTCATCGGTTTTAAAATGGCATTTAAAATCTGAAATGAATTTAAAAGTTATATAATTACACTACCCAAAATTTTAATCAAAATATTTCTTTGTCTAGTACGCATGCATATATACATGCATACATATATACACGCATACATACATACATACATAGAAACAGGAACAAAAACGAATTTATTTTTCATTTTTTTTTATTTACCATTTCATTTTCAATAACAGACGTATTTTTAAAAAAAAAATTTTCACAAAAAAAAAAACATAAATAAAATTGTACACCTTTTGTAGATCGAACAATCCTAAACATTTATTTTCATTTTAATTACGAATAAAAAAAATAAATGGAAAGAATTCTTATAAACAGCTTACGGTAGACAAGTAAAATCGTTTGAAATCTGAGTAAATTCAGTGAAGTAAAAATGCAGAATCATTGTTTCAACGAAACGAAATACGTTTTTGTATTTATATATATATATATATATATATATATATATATATATATATATATATATATATATATATACACACACACACACACACACATGAAAAAAGACGGAAGGAAAACTTATCCTAATCGAGGCGTTTCGTCCTCTGAAGGATTTTATCAAGGCAAATGAAAATTTCAATTTAAATATTTTGCCTTCATAAAGTCCCTCGGATGACGAAACGCGTCGGCTGAGATAAGTTTTCCTTTTGTCTTTTTTCATATTGTCCTTTTACAGATATACTCTATGTGAAAATTTTTACACACACACACAAACACAAAAACACACACATGCATACACATATATATAGGAAATCAGTTGAACAAAATCACCTGAAGATACCGAAAAGTTGAAGCCAAGGTAGCAGAATCGGCTGATCTAATTTTCTATACTATACTATACTATATATATATATATATATATATATATATATATATATATATATATATATATATATATACATATATATATATATATATATATATATATATATATATAATTTAAACAATTTAATAACCACCCTGTAAAAGGTGAAAATTATTGAGAACTTTATTAAACTATCGAGACAATTTATTTTAATAAAAAGCATATTGTTCTATATAATTCATTTTAATCCTTAGTGTCTATAGTAAAATAAAACATTTAATCTTAAGCGTTAATCTGGTGAAGTTCATTACTATGCAGAACGATTAGAAAAATTACTCTTTTTTCTTCGGTCATGGCCGTTTTATTTTTAATTTCAAAATTAATTTTAAAAAATTAAATGTTTGTTTTTGCTTTATTTTTAGTTAAAAAAATAATCTAAAAATATTTCATTTAAAAACATTTTTGAAATGATTGTTTTATTTTTGTTTTTAATGAAAATTTGATCATTCTATCTTTAAAGAAGAATTCAATAACTATTATTTTATTAATTAATAACAATTTCATTATAATAATGATATTAATTAATTTTTGTTTAAACAGGCATTAGATTGGATAGAGTCCTGGTTTAATTTAAATTGCATACGAAAATTCTGTCTTTAGCTCCGGTTTTGAAAGAAATACGCCATCATTTTGTGTAAATAAATCATTTTTATTATATAGACAATAAATAAATATCTTTATGAGGAGAAGCATATTTACTGAATAATCGAGTAATTTTTGCACAATTGTTCATTTTAAAAACTTTTTCGGTAAATAGGAGAAATCTTTTCAGGCGTGCAGCTGATTAATTTCAATAAAACCACAAATCATGAGGCATACTTTCAAACAAGAAATAAAATCATATTTTTAAATAAATTTTCTCATTGAAGATTAGCATAAAAAAAAAAAAGATTCCATTGCAGACTTTCTAAAAAAAGCCCCGAAAAAAGCATTTTAAATAATTTAAATAACTTTGAAGTTAAATTTCTACTTTTCTTTGAAAGCTAAACTATATGGAAAAAAAGAAATTTCCGTGTGTAAATAAAGATTTTAGATA